CAATTCCAAGACAGGAGCTGTCAGTGACTCCCAGGTACTGTAGTTATCATTGTCCACCCAGACAAGCATGAAAAACTAACAACAAAAATGGGTTTTTCAGCATTTTTCTAGACTCCATCAGGCTGTCCAACTTACTTCCTGACACCAATTATATGGTAGGTCATATTCTTATCGACAGGTTCACTTTTTTTTTACTCTTGGTGTCTCATTCTTGTCTTATAGCCAATTTTCCACACAATAAATTCACCTTAGACCATCTCTTCCCTTAATACTCGTCTCAACTCCAAATCGCTAGTCAAATTCTAAGGCACTTCCTCATTTGATTTGCTGGAGTAGAACATCTTTGTGGGGTATGGAGTGAGTAAGAGTGAAGTAAGGATATTTGCAATTTAACCTAGTATCTGTGCATTTCATTAATCCTTCCTCCATCAACCACTTAACCTTTATGGGTGTTCTTATTGCCTCTCATTGTATTGATTTCTGTCCATTTCTCCAATTTAGTGAGATCATGCAGTATTTTAAACCTGTCTTCCACTGCATAACTAGGTTTAGCTGGGGGGTAATTGACATCAATTTAAAGAATGAAAAATTAGGCTGAATATCCGGGGAAAACTTCCTAATGGTGAGATCTGCTAGAATGCATTGCTATCTCTCCATGGGATTGGTGGCCGTTCCATTAGCATGTACATTAAAACCACACTGAAGGAATATAAGATTATAGATTGGACAGAAGAATCCTGAAGTAGGAGGGGAAAGACAAGCTGCAAAGCTCTGCAGCTTTCCTCCTACAGTCACATCATTTTGGGCTTGCCCCACTCACTCCTCATACCACCCACCAGTTCTCTGAGGATGTGCTGATCCCCCAATATCAACGAATTCCGGGGATGGAACCAATGTTGTATTCCCTCCAATACTATTGCAACCTCAGCTGTGGTGGTGGGAGTGTCGTGGTAGCTACGAGATTCTCAAGGCCCATGGAACAGTTTTCTCACCCCTCTTTATTACCTCTTGGCAAGCTGTGGGAACAAACATTTCGTAAGATCTGTTGTGATAAGAAAAGGAGTCATGGTTTTACACTAGAGGAGGGTAGATTTAAATTAGATATAAGGAAGAAACGTTTGATATTGAGGGGAGTGAAACATTGCAGGTTCCCAGAGAGGTGATGAATGCTCCATTCCTGGAAACATAAAAAGCAAGACTGGGAAGAGCCCTGAGCAACGTGGTCCAGTTGAAGTTGTCCCTGCTCACTGTGGAAGGGTTGGACTAGATGGCTTTGAAAGGTCCCTTCCATCCCAAATTCTTCTGTGATTCTAGGAAGAAAGCCAGAGCACTCTACAAACCCTTGAGGTGGGTAGCAGGGCCCAGGATGGTGATGTGTGCTGGAGGGCTCATCTCTCCCCTGTCTGGAAGCACCCAGGATAAGACAACACACGAGAGATCACAAAGTTGTCCTCTACCCTGCAACATCACTTCGGCACAGTCTTTTTCAATGGCATTCATCAGCTCTGTTACCATCCTTCACTTTTTAAAGAAATTACTATCTGATTAACTTTTCTAGCACCATGTTTGAAAACTGATTGTAGAAAGAAGCTGGGCTTTGCTGAGGCACAGATCAGATACAGGAGAATAAAGACTCCTGCTTAAAATACACTGCTGACTCTTAGGTTTGGAAGAGAGCAGTCTGAGCAGAAACAAGTGTGTTCTTTATGCACCATGATGAAATAGTTTAATTGCAGGAATAGCCAGAAAGTTCATTCCTCCTCTCCACCTTTAATGGAGAGGTTCTCTCATTTACAAGGGGAATAAAAAGAAGCCTATTTTCATCTGAAGTTGTTACTACCAGCAACCACTTTTTATTAAAAGAGGACTTCTGTCAGCTCCTGAAAAAGGGAGATATCTTTTTCAGTAACAAAACCCAATATATTTATCTCAAAAGCCAAGTAGGCTGGAATGTATTTTGTTTGGTGGAGGAGGCAATCTTTTCTCTTTTAGGTTCTTGAAATTTGTCTGCCATGAATAAGCAGATTTTTTTTTTAAATGAAATTTCCCTCCAAGAAAATTTTGAAAGAAACATCTCCACCGGCTCTGCTCAGTTAGCAGTGGCAAAAAAATGGCTCAGAAATGGCTCAATTTCACAGCTGCTCCCCTGAATTTTTCTGAGAGCTGAGAGAGCAAGAAGAAGACTTGCCAATTTCTGGTTTTCCCTTAAGAAAGAAATTAGCAGATTATTGTGTAGCAATGGGGATGTTCATGGGACAAAGGGCTGACTGCAGACTCCACACTGGTCAAGAAGAAGAGAAATCATTTTCTCCATGGCAGGAGGCTCAGGCTACAAATTTGTCAGATAACGAATAGCCAGAGGCTGATACAAAAGACTAATTCTCTTAGTAAAACCCTTGGAGAGTTTCCCAATATGAGTCCAAGGCTGGCAAGCTGCTGGAGGAGACGGGAAGAAAATGCAGCCATCTCATGAGGACACTGCCTCTGGATTTCTTCATTGTGATTTTCTATACGGCACTTTTCATAATTCCCTCTGGCTAGAACCATTGAAATGAAACTTATTGATTGAAATTCTGATCCTATTGATTTTACACATGAGATTTGTGCGAATATGAAAGAGCAGGAACTGCTCTGTAACCGCACCCATCTCCATTTACTCCCTGCTGAACACATGCTGTAGGCTTGCTTGTCCATTTCAGTCCCCTGAGCTTCCAGAAATAAATTACCCAAAATTCAAATATACTGCACTTAGCTCACAAATGTGTAATAAATATTACTGGTTCTTGAATACACTGAGTTACCTTTTGCTTTCTTTTGTCTGCTTTTCTTTCATACGCCTCTTTACCTCGCTAACCACGTCCTTTTTTTCCTTTTCCTTTCAGAGGTGAGATGGGAAAATGGGAAGAACATGTTCCATGAGGAAGAAGAGATGGGAAACAGCACTGGGAGGAGATGATGGTTGCCTGAAAGGAAAGTGCCTGCAACTTCATGCTTAAATACTCTAAGTGCTATTAGAAATTGTATTTCTACCCCTAAGGAAATGGTCTTGGATATGGGATCTGGTGAACTCAGGATAGCAGGAAAGATGATTACAGAGGAGGAAGTGATCAGAGGTCCCAAGTGAAAAACCAACACGGTGTTAGCACATGGTCACCCACATCCAACTGCATGAACAGCAGCCCCCTGCCTTCCCCAAGCCCCTGTGGGGCAGCCCTGCATTTCCTTCCCACGGCACAGGGATGTTCCTGTCAAGGCTCCTGTAGCTGGGTGCTTTTTGGCAGAGGTGGAGTGGCTTTTAGAGTCAAAATCAGCAGCTTCAGCATCCACATCTACTTCCCAACAACCAAACCTCCCTTTGCAGATTTCTTGTTTACTGAAATGGTAGGTGTCCTTTCCATGGATCAGACAGCAATCCTTGATTATCTTCATTTTAGTTAGATGCATTTTACCTTGCTGTGCTCAACACTTCCTTCTTTCCTCTCTAGATCTTTTTATAGCTAGATTGTCACATATCAGTCAATGTTATGGATTAAAGTTGAGTATATTGTGACTTGTCTGGGTCTGTAGGAAAGCATTTTAAACGAATTTCTATTTATTTTATTTTCCCCGTTGACATCGTTTTCTTCTCTTTTCCAACCTTGTGAAATGGCACAACCTGCCAGGAAAACTGGGACTTTAATTCACTAGAATTCTTAAATCACTGTGTCATGAAATGGTTTTGAAAAGAAGGCAGGTCATCTGGTGAGGTCTGTGACCACACTGCAGCACAAAAACCCAAACCATCTGTTAATTACACTGATGGAAAACATAATCCAAGATGGTGGTGAAACCTGATGCTTTGCATGGAGCATGTAAACGATTCACGTTGCAAGTGTTGATCAAAGTGCTTGAGCTGTGAGGAGCTCCCAAAGGGCTCTTTGCAGGTCAGGTCACAGACACGGCATTGTGGGGTGGGGGCAGGAGCTGTGGGGGACCCTCAGGGCACAGGGGAGCGCGGTGCCCACGGACACACACTGCCGTCCCATCCCCGAGCACTCAGCTCTGAACTGCTGCGCCACGCCACACAACCCTGGGATGTCCTGAGATGGAAGCGACCCACAAGGATCATTCAGTCAAACTCCTGGCCCTGAACAGGACAATCCCAAGAGTCACACCATGTGCCTGAGAGTCTTGACAAAACGCTTCTTGAAATCTGACAGGCTTGGTGCTGTGATCACTGCTCCAGTGCTCAAGCACGCTCTGGGTGAAGAACCTTTTCCTAATACCCACCCTAATTCGCCCTCCGGCACAGCAAGAAGAGATCGGTGCTGCTCCTCCACTGCCCCTCCCGAGGAAGCTGCAGCCCACGATGATCTCTGTCCTCAATCTCTTCTCCACACTGAACAAGCCAAGTGCCCTCAGCCGCTCCTCGTATGGCTTCCCCTCCAGACCCTGCACCAAGGCAGACCCCAGCTCTGAATCACTGGGAACGGGGGGCAGCAGCCCGAACCACGGCCTCTCCCGTCCGGGGAAAGGCGCCGGAGCCCGGGGCGAGGGGACGGGCACCGGGACGGCGAGCTCGGTCCGTGCGGGGCGGGCGGGCCCCGCCGCGGGCAGCGGGAGCGAGCCCGGACCCGGGTGGGGCCGCCCCGAGCATGCGCGAGCCGCGCGCGTCACGGGCGAGGCCGGCGGGAGCGCG